CCATCCCATCAGCCTGTCGAAACTCGCACTCGAACCCAGACGTCCCCCTCTCTTCTCCACCTCGGGGGCTATACGAGGGGGAGAGAAGACCTCCATGAACGAGGTCTTGGCCTTGGTGGCCTGCCTCGCGCTGAAGGCTCCCGAGGACTGGCACCCGTGGGTCTCGAGTTGCCTGTCGAGAGCTCTCCGAACCTTGGGTCCCCAGGCCGACTCGTGATCGTCGTTAAATTGATCACCATCAATCCAACTCTCGAGGAGGCCGTCCTCCGTGGTTTTCGAGCCCCGTCCAGCCGTGGCGTAGGCCCCGTTCGACTCGGCCCGAAAGACTGGGAAACCTACAGGGAAGCTCCCGAGGCCCCCTTGGTGTTCTGGAGGGCCTTCCTCTCTTTCTTTTCTTTCGCAAGAGCCGGCAGTAAAAGAGCCGGCGACGCTCATGCGTCGTGACTGGGAATCCCTCGCCCTGTGGCGAGAGTAGCAATGGCAAGGGGACTGATCTACACCAAGTCCCACGTGCCGACCGATGTGGTAGTGGAGGAGGTCGTGTCCTCCTCCTCTGAGCCCTCTGGGATCGAACAGATCTCGGTCGCCTGAGCTGGGAACGGCTTGGCAGGCGGCATCTTGGCCGGCGGCTGCGCTAGAGGCGCCGTCCAGGCTGGTGCCGTGGGAGTCCACGGATCTCCACTCTGCCAGCCGCTCCCGCTGCTGGAGCTGGCCATTGCGTGCTGATTCATCGCATGCGCCATTGCGGTGACAGAAGATGCTACCTGCACTAAAAGATTCAGCATGTGGTCGACTGCCTGATGCATCGACGTTGTCTCGAGCTGCATCGCGGTCAACTGATCGGCAATCGAGTCGATGGATTCCCCGAAATTCTCGAAGACGCCTAGCATGCGTTGGACGTGGACCACCGACTGGTACACCTGCTTGAGTCCCTCCTCCAACTGGCTGTTGCTGCCGATCTGATTGGATGCCACCAGCTGCTGCATCTGCTCGACGACCGGCTGGATGTTGGCCAGTAGCTGCAGTCCCTCGGGTAGATTCTGAAGATGGTGGGAGAGAGACGTCATCATCGCCGAGATCCCGTTCACGGCGTTGAGGGTCGCCGCGCCGTCGACGAAACCCTCTTTCTCCTGAAGCATCTGGATGGTCTTCTCCGCCGTGGCAGCGGCCCGACGGGCTGCCTGAGCCGCCGACTCGGGCCGTTCGGCTGGAGCACCGCCCTCCTGCTCCCGAGGCGTCCACTCCAGGCGGTAGCCGCACAGCCCGCACTTGAAACCTCGCCCGTGCTGATTTCCGTATGGCTGCCTCCGGTCTGCGGGATGGTCGCACTGAGGAGGCGGCTTGTAGGGAACCTTCGATGCCTTCGGCATGGGCTTCTGTATCTGTGGATGCTGCTGAGGCCAGCTCGGCCGTCCGCAACCTCCTGAACTCGCGGCTGCTGCCCCTGGCGCTGCTGTGGCTGCGCCCGAGCTGCTGCCGCTGCTGGTGCCGACCCAGTGGTTCGAGACTGCGGCTGCTCCCGTCTCCGGCTGATACGCTCCCGTCTCGTTCTCCATCCCGTTGGTCAGCTCCTCGTATTCTTGCTGGACCCGACGAATCTGCTCTCGGAGCTGGCGGGCCCGTTCCTCCTTTGACGGGAGGTCGGGTGGAGCTTTCTTTGGTCCTCCGTGGACCACGCCCGCGGTGCTGAGAAACATCAGCGTCACCAGGACTAGAGGCATTGTCCTGTCTCTGATCTTGACTGGAAAGAGAACCGATACTCTCGGGGTGGTCGATGCCGGAAAGCTTCGAGCCGAGAAAGGCTACGGAGGCAAGAGCCGTGACCCATTGAGGAATACGGCTTCTATGGAGTGACATCCTGTTTCTCGACAGGGTCCGAGTTATGGCCTCAGCCTTGACGAGCTCCCTCCGGATCACCTTAGTGTGACGGAACCCCGCTAAGCCCCGATTTGGTTCTGCTAGGCCCTGCTGAGCCCGGGACTGACCCTGGCACTGCTCTGTCCTCGAGAGGTCCTCGCAACTGCTCTCGAACTCCGTCGAGTATATCCTTAAGTGGCCTGTGAAGCCGAGGACGTTCTCCGTGTCGGCTATCCTTGTGTACTCCTCGCAAGCGTCCCCCTGGAGGTCTTCGGGGTCCTCGTGATCTGTGGTCTGCTGGGCCTCTGGGTCCTTGAGGTGGGCCTTGAAATCGGAGTTCCAGGGGTCCCTTCTATGGGACCGGGTTCTTCTTAACACGATACTCAGACCAAGGGCACATGAGATGATGAGATAGATGTAGTGCCCCACGACACCCGTGTCTGACATGCGCTGCACCGGGCCGCCAGAATATTCGAACGAATTGGCTGCGAGGAACGGCCACCTCTGAAGCGCTCCGGCTGGCACAGAGCCTCCTGGCCGAAGGGTCCTCACGATGTCGGCCATTCTATGGCCTGATCCTAGCTTCGTGAGCTTTGTCGTCTCTCCGAGCCTACTGGACGCCAGCGTATTCTCGGGTAGGTCCAGAACACAGCCCAAGAAGTCTAGAAGATTGACGCTGATGATGTGGGGGACATCATCGGCTAGCACTGCTGTCTCGATTATTCCGAGAACTCCGAAAAGACAGAGTGGAAAGAGAATGCTGGCTACTACCTTGGCCGGCCCACCAACGCCGTGGGCGGCGACATGTCGTCTATGCTCGGCCGGAACTTCAACATATCTGAGACCGTGCTCTGCTAGTGCTTGTGATTCTCGATTCAGAGCCTGGACGCCGATGAGATCACTCCCTGCCCCAGGGTCTACCAGCCCTTGGCACGGAAGCGATACCAGGAAGGTGTCATCCTCCTTGATCTCCCGATGAACGGTCCTCCAGATCTCCATCGCCTCCGGACTGAGCACCTTGTCGGTCGATGCCATGCCGTTGAATGCATATGCAGCCATGCGTCGGTCTGCTCCGGCGTTCTTCGGGCACTCCCGACTCCAGTGGCCCTTTTGGTTGCACGTCCTACAGCGGGTCACCTTCATCTTCTGCTCCAGGGTGAGCGTGGGTCTGCGCCTGAACCGATCTCCTCGACGGCCGTCGCCTCGACCTGCACCCTTGGACGGTGGAGACAGGCGCTCCACCTTGGGTTTGTCGGTAGCTCCTCGTGGTCCGGCTGCTGGGCGTCGTCCTCCGTAGTACTCTCGGTCGCGCTTGGCAGCGCGCTTGAGATCCTTGTTCTCCTTCCAGGAGCGTCCCGCCGGGCGGGCCGCGAAAGCCTCGAGGGCGGCGTCCAACTGATCCTCGTAGAGGTCGAGATCCTCGAGCTCCTCGAGAAGGACAGCTTCGTCCTCGAAGTCGTCGTCAACCTCCTCCTGGTCCGTGGAGCCGTCGCCTGTCTCCTCACCACCTTCGAACCTACCAGCGGGGAACGAGGGAGTGGAGGAGGGAGGCTGAGAGGCTGCTGTGGCACGCTCGTCGTCGCTGGGCTCTTCGGCCGCGGGACCTGCTAACAGTGTGCCTGTAGAACGGCCTGGAAGAAGCCTCTCAGAACTGGTTGCGTCCATCTGCCTGAGGGCCCAGGACACGCTATCGTAGTCCAGGCGCCCGTGAGTCAGGGTTCTGAGATTTTGCTGACCCTGAGCAGACAATCCGGCGCCTTCCTCTAGAAGCAATCCCTTCAACTTTGGGCTAAACCACATGTCGTGCCCCTCTGCCTCGGTCAGCTGCGCCTCACGGCGGATCACATACTGAACCAGCGTCTCTCGAGGCTCACGTGCTGCTTCATATAGAGCTCGGCGCCCGGCACGTCGTAGGTCGTCGCCCTCACGCTCTCCAGCCATGGTGTCCATGCGGCGCAGGATGACCTCCAGCCACGAGGCGCTGTTGAGCGTACTCTCGGGTATATCCTCGAACTTGGCCTGGAGGTTCCAGTCGAAGAGCTTGAACAATTTTTCAGCCCTGCGCCATATCGCTACGTCGGTATTCTGATTCCATCTGCGGATAGCACGGCTCCACTGTCGATAGTGTCCGAAACCAGGCCAAGGCGGCGGATCAGAGTAGTCGCCTTTGCCGCCACTGGCGGCCCATCCCCACCAGTCGCCGGCACTGGTGCCAAAATGGCCCCTGCTGCTGCCGGTCCAGTGCTCCCAGGCCTGGTTCGTGCTGTCGCCCTGATCGCCCCCCTGCTGCCGTTCAGCGCCTCCCCAGCGCCAGCTGGCAGCGTCGGACCAGTTCCACGGGTCCTCCTGGCGATCTCCCTTGGCACTGCTGTCGGCCCAGCCGTGCAACCAGGGATCTTCTGCTGCTGTCGTGGCCGCGGCCACCGGCGTCTGAGACGATGATGCTGCTCCCATAGTCTCGCGGACTACTCCCACGATCATCTCTTTCAGCTGCGCCGGTGTGACCGCTGCCAGCGTGTCCCCTGCGGCTGGGCTCGCTGGAGCCTCGGCTGGGAACTCTTTCTCCTTGCCGTCTCGCGTCGTCATCCGTGGATCTCCACGCCAGTCGGACCTGGAAGCGAGGTCCTCGCTCCGGGCGCTCGAGAGCTTCCTGGACAGCGCCTCCTCAGCGCCGCGCCGGAGCTCCCATGGGCCCGAAGCGGGGTCACCCCGCTCCGCTACCAACTGTGGCAGCAGATCGCCCCTGGGATGTTTTTCCCTTGAGCCAGAACGCGAAACGGTCGGACTCTCCAAACGCTGAACCTAGGGATTAAAATCTGGATGGCATTCACATTAGGCCGTCTTGGGTGCCTCTTGGGCCGTCTTGGAGGCATCTTGATACCATCTTAGCCGTCTTGGAGGCCATTTTGGCCGTCTCGGAAGCCACTTGGGCCCTCTTGGGGCCGTCTTGGGGACCTCTTGGGCCGTCATGGGGCCATCTTGGAGGCCTCGTGGGCGATATTGGGGGCCTCTTGGGCCGTCTTGAGCCGTCGGAAGGCCGAAAAGATGGGTGTGCGTTGCACGTGATTGCTTTGAGGTTCTTTATATGTTGCAGCCCTCCAGCAGCCCCCATATCGCTGCTGGGGCTCAAGCTTTCAGCGGGTATGCGAGCCTACCCGACCAGCGCGGTAGGCGGCGCCGTGGCCACGTTCCTGGCAGGGTTCCTGGCGCACGACGTCCTGGGGCCCGCGCTGGTGCACGAGGCGAGCGGCCTGCCACCGCGCAGTGGGCCAGGCCACGAGCTGGAGGTCAGCTCGTCCAGCAGCACCTCCACGAGCACCAGCGCCGCGCTGGCTTGCTTGTGCCCGGCGCCGCCGGCGCCGAAGGAACCCGAGCCGTCGCCGCTGCGAGTGGCAGGCACGGGGCTCGATTCGACCGTGGAGGTGCCGCTCGCCGTGGCGCTGGGTGTCGGGGCGCTGTTGACGCTGGCCGCCGCCGCTCGCTGCTGGAGCCGAGTGGAGGACCAGGCCTTGGCACGGAAGGTGCTCGAGCCGATAGGTGAGTCACGGATCCACTTGGCCTGGTCCCAGTGACGATGGCTGACAATAATTGCCCTGGGCTCAGGGTGCTAGTGACGTACAGTGACGACCCGGGCTGGACGCACGAACGAGTGCTACTGTGGCCGCACAATGAGGCTCGCACGAGCTGGCAGATCTACACGCCTGGCAACGACTTATATGCTGAGGACTTCGGGGACTACGCCTCGCTCGTTCCCGTGACGGGGCGGAGGCGTTACCCACCAGGCGTCAGGAACGTGGTAGCGTTCAACAGGAGCCTGCAGGCCGCCGAGCTGGTCTCGCTCATCAGGCGCGGTCGAGGCGAGGCCGTCCTCGAGCACGGACCGCTAGCGAATGGCTGGTGGGGGCAGGACTGGCTCGGAGGCAGGTTGGACATCCCCGCGCCAACGGCCGTGGAGGTGCCACGCGTGCGGCGCCGCCTGCGCAGGAAGGCCGCGGAGGTCCAGACCGACCTCCCTGTGCTCGGTGACGGGAGCCCCCCTCCGCCGCCGCCGCCGCCTTCGGAGAGGCCGCCAGGGTCGTGGGTTCGTTGCTCCTTCGAGGACAGCGACTTCGGACAGATGGTGCCCCTCCCAGCTACTGCCATCCTGCGAGGCCGCTATGGGCTCGACAAGGATGAGATGGGTGAGTGGCGTCCCATAGAGTATGTGCTGGACGATCAGGCCTACAGCTGGCGAGATGACAAGTTGGTGCGGCGGATCGGCAGCGACCACCACGAAGCGCCCTTGACGATCGGCTCTTCGGCAACGGCGGGGGCGGTGCCGCCGCACCCCCTGGGGGGCCCACTGTTGCGGCTGCCGCGGCGGGCACTGGCGAAGAGCAGGCCGAGGATCTGCGCGCGTGCTGGATCGACGTCGACGAGACAGGTTCGAGGTTCAAGGAGTGGCGCAAGGTAGTGCAGGAGAGTACGCAGGAGGTGTTCTCTGACTCGAGCCTGCGCGGGCCGCCAGCGTGCCCGGAGGTATGCCGCAAGATGTACCGGCACGGCGGCACGCCCGAGATCTGGTTCCAGGAGTGGTGCGAGGAGACAGGGATCTCTCGACGGGATCGTGCTTACCACGAGGTGCAGACGCTCATCGAGTGCCTGTGCCTCGCGGGCACCTACGACCAGGTGAACATGGGAGCTCTGGCATCGCTGGAGGTGATCGCCCGCCGGCTGCTGCAGTGCGCGGAGGCGTGCCGGACCACGCGAACTGGGCGGCGGCGAAGCACGTGGCAGGGGCGACGAATCCGCTGGACCTGGTGCCCGAGGCGCTGCGGAGCTACGCCAGCCGCCTGAGCAAGGAGGAGCACGAGCTGGAGGCGCTGCGGGCGCGGGCAAAGACGCCTGCGGCCTTCTCGGCTAAGGGAGGTCGCGGCGCTGCGGCTGCCGCGGTGGACGCTGGCGGTCTGCCGATCGGAGGCGGCGCTGGAGCCGACGGGGCTGGAGATGGTGCTGATGCAGGCCGTGGCCGTGGCCGCGGCCGAGGCCGAGGCGGGCGGGGTCGAGGCCCCCGCCCGCCGGACTCATGACGTCCTTGGCGGAGGGGGGCGGGCGCCCGACCGCTCCCTGCAGACCGAAGGGCACCAGAGGGCTACGCGGCGCTTCCTTCTTGCCGTTGACCCCTCTGAGGGAGTTGCCTCCCGAGTGGTGCGAGGGCCTCAGCGCGGCGCAGCGCCGTCGCTGGCTTCGGGACGGCAGCGCTGCTTGCGAGAGCTTGAATTATTTGCGTGGGGGCATCCACCGAGGCGAGCGGACGTGCAGCAGCGCGTTTTCTCGGCGGCTCGCCGGTGGATAGACGTTGACAGCGCCGTCAGTGAGGAGGAGGCCCTTGCCAGGCTTCTCAAGGGCAAGGCGGGGTATGCCCCCCTTGGCTCGACCAGCATGGACTCCTACGAGTACTCGCGGGTGAGCTTGCCAGACAGTGTCGTCGACGCGCCGTTCTTGGCCACCATGCTCCCCGCGCAGACAGAGCAATACCTCGAGGAGTTTGCTTCCAGGATGCTGCTACCGCCTCGGGGGGCAGCACTAATACGAGAACTTGATGGGCTTCCTGGTTGTCACACCGACCCTCTGCTGCTGCAGCGGCCGCGGAGCTATGGGAAGTTCGTGCGGCGAGCGCTTGCGATAGGCCTAGTCACTTTGACCCAGAGGCCTAAGAGCGTACTTGGATTATTCTTTGTGAAGAAGAAGGATGGGGCTCGTCTTCGCCTCATCGTCGACTGCAGGCGGAGCAACGCCTTGTTCCGCCCTCCTCCCGGGGTCGACTTGTTGTCGGGCGAGGGGCTCGGCCGCGTAGAAATGCCCGTCATGGAGGACTCCGACTTTGCCGGGCTCTGTGCGGTGCTTGGCGTGGGCGACGTTGTCGACTGTTTCCACGGGATGAAGCTGCAGGGCGACATCAGGCACTACTTCTGCTGGCCGCCACTGGATGCTGCACTGACTGGAGAGACACTGGTCGAAGGGCGCCCTGTGCACGCCGGCGAGCAGGTTTGGCCGATGAGCCAGAGCCTGCCAATGGGCTTCTCGTGGTCCCTGTACTTCGCCCAGGCCGCCAGCCAGTGCAGGCTCGACCGACAGCCATCGTTGGCGCGCAGCCTGCGTTTGAGCGATCGCGGGCCGCCTCTTGTCCTTGGACGAGATACCGTGGGGTCGGAACTGGGCCACTACATGTACGTCGACAATGCAGGCGTGTTCGGGTTCGACGCAGCGCGTGTGACCTGCGCGCTGCAGGAGGCCCAGCGCGACTTCGATGGCGATCATCTGAAGTTCCACGAGGTGGAGGTGATGCCTGAGGGAGGTCGCACCTTGGGCTGCTATCTCGACGGCAGGCACCGAGCGACCCGCCCTACTGACGAGAGGTTCGCCATGGTGCGGAAGGGGTTGAGGTGCTTGCTGAGGAAGCGCAAGGTCGCCGGCTGGCAGCTGGAGATGGTGCTGGGCCACATGACCTTCATGGCCCTGGTTCGCCGCGAGGTGCTGTCCATCTTCCACTCGGTCTACGCCTTTGTGGCGCAAAGCTACCATGCCTTCTCCGAGCTGTGGCCCACCGTGCGTGAGGAGTTGACTTGTTATTTGGGCATCATGGTGATGCTGGAGTCGAGCTGGATCAGGCCGTGGATGCCAGTGGTCTACTCCTCCGACGCCAGCCTGTACGGCTACGGGGTGGCGGAGGCCTGCTTCGGGATCGAGACGGTGGCAGAGATCGGCCGCGTATCGGAGCTGGCGCGGTGGCGGCTGGGAGCTGGGCTAGCGAGACAGCATGCCTTCGAGTGCGCTGGCTTCCTCTTGGACAGCGAGACCGGCGAGGTCGTCCGAGATGAGGCCGGGGCCCCGAAGCGGCTGGGCGCCGAGCTCCAGCGCGTGCTGGCCAGCGAGCGCTGGGAGCTGGACCCGAGCTTCCCCGAGGTGCCCAGCTGGCTCCTGCATGACTCGCATTGGGCCACGGTCATGGCCGACCGTTGGGCCTTGGCCGATGATATCCTTAGACTTGAGGCACGAGCGTTGGTGAAGGCTGCAGCTCGTGCCGCTAACTGTCAGCCTGTAAAAGAATGCCGTGCCCTTTTGCTAGGAGATAATCTCGCTGTCGTGTTATGTTTTTGCAGGTTCAGGTCCAGGGATCTCCGGCTTCTAATTCAGGTCCGCCGCTTCGCTGCCCTGTGCCTTGCTAGAGATATCAAGTTTGTTGTTCGTTGGATTCCGTCTGAGTTCAATTCTGGCGACGAGGGAAGTCGAAGGTTCGATCCTGCTTATGATGCACAGAAGACCCTTGTTGCCCATCTTGGCTCAAACTCGTTGTCACCCCAGGTTCCTGCGGACCCTGTCGATACTTCCGCAGCGGAGGCCCGTGGCGGCAGAGAGCAGTCGGCGGCGGACGCTGAGCCGTACTGCGGTGCCGACGCCAGCCGTCCCGCTCGAGTCAGGCCGCAGGCGCACGCGGGCGCTGAGCAGCCCTGGTCGCCGGCTGGATTCGGGAGGGCCGCCGCCAGCGCAGAGGTCCCGCACGCTGGACCAGAGACGCGGGCTGGCCGCGAGGCTGGTGCTGGAGGGCGCCGCCCGACCGCCGCTGCAGAGCTCAGTGGAAGCTTGCTTGTAGCTGAGCCCCAGCGGGCCACACCTGGCCGACCAGGCCGTCGCCGGCCACGGGGCTGCCGAGGTCGTGGCGGAGAGCGAGAGCATCGAGAGCAGCGACGTCGAGGAGCCGCCGGCTGCCGCGCGCTCCCGCAGGCGTCTGGAGACGCGCGGGAAGCAGGAAGGCGATCGATGTGCTGGAGACCACAGAGGCGGGCAAGGACGACGTGAAGCTGGGCATCAGCTACCTCGAGAAGAGGTCGGTGGGCGCAGGCACCTTGGAGACTTACCGCCAGTGCGTGCTCGCATTCTGCGTCTGGGCCCGCTGCTGCCTCACTGCCCTGCCCGAGCTCAAGGAGCTGGACGGCCAGCTGGTCGAATATATGAACGAAGAGTTTTTGAAGGGCGTCAAGGCCTGGCGGGGCTAGAAGCTCCTCGCTGGGCTGATGTTCTTCCACCCGGACTTCGGCCGCCTGGGCGGTTTACATCTCCCGAGGTCTTTGCGCTGCCTGACTGGGTGGAAGAAGCTTTCACCATCTCGATCTCGGAAGCCCTTGGTGTTCCCGATCTGGGCGGCGCTGGCAGTGGAGCTCTGCCGCTTGGGGGCGCCTGGTAGGCGCAATGGTGCTGATCATGGTGGAGTGCTACCTTCGGCCGGGGAAGATGCTGAGCCTCACGAGCGACTCATTTCTGGCACCGACGGAGCATGCAGTACAGAACTGGGTCGTATGGCTGTTTCCAGAAGCTGGGGTGGCTCGGAGCAAGGTGGGGTCAGCAGACGATATCATCCCTTGCGACTCAGGACGGTGCCCGTGGATGTGTCACATCTTCAAAGCTCTGAAGAACCGCCAGTCATCCCGGCCCGTCCTGGATTTGAGCTACCCGCAGTTCTTGTGCCTCTTCCGGAGAGCGGCCACGAGTATCGGAGTCGACGTCGTCCCGTACCAAGGCCGTCACAGCGGAGCATCGCTGGATCGGGCCACGGGGCGACGCTCCTTGGAAGAGGTTCAGAAAAGAGGGCGATGAGATGCGATGAGTTCGGTGGAAAGATACGAAAAGTCAGGACGACTGAACGAGAGCTGGGAGAAGCTGAGCGACGCCTCCAAGGCACACTGTGCTGCGGCGGCCAGCCTGCTGCAAGAGGTATTGCTGCTGGGGCGCCCCGCGCTTGTGCCGCCGTTCGGCGGCCGAGAGGGCTGTCGCGGGCTCCACTGAGCTCGCAGCTGGCCGCTGTTTCCGCACCGTATCTGCTGGATCTTTTCTCTGGTGGAGGCGGGGTTGGAGGCTTCGCCAAGCGACTTGGTTTCAATTCAGTGTCTTTAGACTCGCGAAATGGGGAAGACCAGGACGTGTGCAGTGCCAATAATCTAGATGCGATTCTCGCCCACTTTATGGCCGGGCTCATCAGATCAGTCATGTTGGCACCTCCCTGTTCTTCTTTCTCTCTTGCTCGTAACAGGTATCCTGTCAGAAGTGCGCAATATCCAGAGGGTCTGCCATCCCTGCGTCCAGCCGACCAGACCGCAGTCAGCATAGGTAACATCTGTAAGCGTGTGGCCGTGTACATCGTTCGGTTGTGCCATGTCTTCGGCGTCCCGTTCGCGTTGGAGAGCCCCCAGACCTCTTACATGTGGCGATGCCAAGATATCATGAAGTATGTTTTGAGCGGTAGCCGTACTCTGGATTTGCACCAGTGCGCCTTCGGATCCAGGTGGCGAAAGGCGACCAAGCTGGCCCTGGGTTCTGTCACGGAGGCAGGGGACTTCGCCCCTGCCTACCCGGGGGCCGTACGATGCCGAGGCAAACGCGGATACTGTTCCTTCAGGCCTGGCCATAAGCATGTCGTCTTAGAGGCCGCTGCGTACACTTCTCGCTTCGCTCGGTGGCTGTGCACTGTCTTGCTCGACCTGTGAAAAGGTGATCCGTGTGTGGCAGAGTATTTTTCACATGCAGAGGTTGACGCCTTCCCCGACGCCAGTGAATGGTCTGTACCGCTACGCTGAGAACTTCGGCTTTGCGAATATGTTGGAGTGGTTTCGCCGTTTGCACGACTCGATAACCTGGTCGCGA